CAATTCAATATTACACACACAAAATAATAACAATTATTTACAATACAATATACAATCATAAATGCTGTTCAAAATATAATAAAAATGACATTATAAAAGCATAACAAATTTTAGTAATGCGGGATTATACAGAAACGTCGAAAATACATATGAAAACATAGATTTTCTTGAATTAATGTTTAATAAAATATTGATAAACGCGGAATGAAACACTAACAACAATTAAATTGTATTTACTATTAATTAATAACTTCTTGGAAAAAAATATTTTATATAATTTTATATAATTATGTATAAAACATTTTTTCTCCTGAGTTGCGATTATAAAACGTATTAATATTGCGATAAAAAGTCATTAATATACTTATAACAGCACTTCCATCGCGTTCGGAACAATTTATTTCAATAATGTAAATGTATCAAGGTCCCTCTGCCTTGTGGTAGGCTATAATTAGCATCCGATATAAAAAAGAACAATCTTCATAGTAGAGAACGAACTTTCTACGTCAAATTTACAATATCCATTTGTAAAGAAAAATTAAGCATTCCGTCAAACACCAACGATCTTGTTACAGAAGAGTGTAAATCTCGAATCTTTCAGATTACTTACGATAGTAATAATAATTTTGGTAGCATGTAAATTACAATTACTATTTTTATCACATCTTTTATATAATATTAAAATTTGCGGAAAAATATGTTCTGCCACATATCACTAAAAAGCATTTCTTATTAAAAATAAACGAACAGAATAATTTCTTACGGAATAGAGGTTACAAAGGAATATATTTAATAATAATAAAATACATGCGTTAATTGTAATTTTTTATATGTATGGATACAAAAGTTTCTCGGGTACCAACTGTTCGAGATAAGCCGAACCCGATAATAACGGGATTTTAAAGAACTTTTATACTAAAAAAATTATTATGTAAAATTTAATTATTCTTTCCAAAAATTCTATTTTCCAAAAATTTTCATTATTAATATCCCACTAATATGAGGGTACCCATTCGATTTATCTCGAATTTTTTTGTAGCCACACATTTTTCATTAAATTCATCAACAAAAATAAAAATTTGTTAAACATAATCTCATAATATCTACATGTATTTTACCATAGAAAAATATGTATATTTATAAATTAATAATTAATAATATTCTGGAATAGCGGGATGTCCAATACCTAAAAAAAATGATTTTAAAATATCAGTTAGAAAACTAAATATATACATTCGTAACCATATTTTTGTTAGGGGAATCATCGAAAATTGAACAAACTATTTACTTAAAATTTAAATTTATTTACTTAATAATTTGAACTTAAACAAATAATTCATATATATATTAATCCATAAAAAAAAAATAATACTAAATTTCTATTGTTATTAAGATAATATTATTACTTATCATTACTAGTGGGAGAACATTTAATAAAACAAATAAATGGAAATTGTATGCTAAAATATATCACTGAATTAATTTCACAACTTGACTTCAAAATATTATATATAGCAATTGTCACTGACTCACTAACAAAATTAAGAACTTTCAGTAAGTACAGACGAGAAAACTCGAGATTAATTCCGATCCTGTACAAGAATCTCGAACGGGACACCAAACTAGACTTTGCGAATGGAAAACGACGAGAAATAACTCTCCATGATGAAAATAATTACGACTTCCCATAGATACAAACTACGCATTCACTGGCATACATCTGACGCGAGGGACAGCGATGAGGTCTTTGCATATAATGAATCAATTAAGATATACTTATAATTCTGTAATGTTAAAAATATAAATGTCAAAAAGCAAACAAGAAGTTAACATTTAACCATTGCCTCAATCAAAGCTCCAATCTTTACTGACTTATTCAATAAATTTGTATACAAAGAAAAATTGAAAATTATTCTAAACATCAAATTTTTAATTAGAAGTCATTCAAAATTATTAATGACTTTTTGATATTTAAAATAATATCCAAATTTAAAGAAAGTTTTAAAATTAAATATTTATCAAACTCGTTAAATCAATAAACAATTTTTGTTATCATATATTTCCTCGATTTCGTGTAACTTACATCAATAAAGTAACAATAAATTTGATTTATTACGACACGATAAATGCTACATGTATAGATATATTTAATATCGGATATAAATATTTCAATAAATGTATAATTTACTAATAATTATTGTGCAAATTACAAAAGTAAACATGAGTAGCATTTACCTGGACATAGTTTACATAAATTTTACATTATGTACCTAATACTATTATACATAAATTTATTTATAACAAAATTAATTACAATGTTAACGCGTTACACACTTTGTATATGTATAGAACTTTATAAGAAATTAAGTTTAATTTCAGGGGAACTAAAAATTTAATAAAATTCAAAATTATATATAGTTTGGTTTATTTTTATATTTGATAATTGGAACGGGATGCTGATAATTAAATAAAATTTAAAATTAATTAAAAATATTATTTAATTTTTAATCCCTCCTTTTCAATTATCAAGTATGTACGTATAATGTCTACATTATATCCCTACTTACATGTCACATAGTTTATTAATACAATTTATTATGTAATATCTTTTAGTTTCATTATATTTATTCTGTTATTTTTAAAATAGAATTTAATTACCCGATCGCGAAATTTATTTAAGTGTCATTTTATTTGTAAAAATTTAATTAAAAATGATTGTACTTATCCCTACCTATCCATACTTATTGTCCCTATTCATACTTTTATTGTCCTACTTACTGATATTTTCATTTATTCGCGTGTACCTAGCTCCGCATATATAATACTTACTATTACCTACATTACTTCATAAATGTGCAATAACACCGTTCTAATACATTAATGACGTTTAAAGAAAGTAGCTTTCCAACTGTTGCAAAATTCTTCAATTGAATCTTGCTTTTGGTTTCTTATAGATTTAAATGTATAAACCAATCACATTAAAGAATTTTACAACAGTT